TCGAAAGGTCCTTCGGCAAAGATTTTGCCACCGCTCACGAAGTTGCTGCCGGAGCCTGAGAAACTCCACCGGCGGTCATACGATGGCTTAAGATGCCCTCACGAATGGCCCGATGTTGCTACGATCAGAGCCGAATTTGAACATTTCCTTTATCGTGTGTCCATCGGGTGTCAATTTCAGGACAGTGTGGCGCGGGCTTAAAGGACTGACTTTAGGACTCATGCCAAAATATATTTAATCCAGATTTCCTCCATGACACCTCTTTGGAGAACTGCGAGGGGGTTAATGAATAAACACAATCCTATGTTTGTTAGTTGTTGGTCAATTCAGTTTTATAGAAATGTACTTCTCTTGAAATGTTTGGCTCTATGAAATGTTTGGCTCTATGAAACCTGATATACTTATATGATTCTGTTTTCTTCAAGGTTGTGTCTTCCTGGTCGAATGTACTTATTGTAAGTCGCTTTGGACAAAAGCGTCAGCTAAATGCAATGTAATGTAATGTAATGTAATGTAATAGAAGCTACAATCCTGACATTTTTAATAAAGCCAGGTTTCTTTAATATATATCAGGTTAGGGAAAAGTCTTTCACTTTTCTGCAACACCACATGACGCAACTTTGACCAAACTTAACGTCATTTATAAATAAAAACAACTCTTTAGACAAGAACACAAGAGTCTTCTTATCAATCTACTTCTCTGAACATCTGGAGCTTGGTGATAAATAAAATCAACACCTCCTTTTATACTGAGGAGAGAAGGAGGAAGAGAGGTGAGGACAAATGGAGAGATACTGGGTGTTTCTCAATGTCGAGTAAAGCTGCTCCAGAGCCACTATTTCAAGCATACTACGTCATCGAGTGCCGCCGAAGGACTGTTCCAATGTCCAGCATACTTGGAATTCTACCGAGCCCGGCGTACATTGTTTGTGGAAATTTCGAGGCTGCACATGTGTAGACTCCGCGGTCTTAAAATCTCCACAATGCTTTGCGCACGGACCAATTTCCCCAAATCTGTGGTGTAAAATGTAAGGCGGGGCCTCTCATATGACGCACACCTGCACACTTGCTAGCCTGTTCCACTCTTCACTTTCCGAATGCCAGGAAGTATTCTTGCCTCGCTTCTGAAGCAAGACGCTCGGAAGACATGTGCTACCAAGCAAGCGTACTCGACATTGAGATACACCCACTGCCTAAAAGGAAAAAGGATGTAACTGAGAGTAGAAGAAGGGGTGAGGAAAAGGGGGGAGGTAAAAGCCTGGGTTGTGTTTTGCTGCCTTGTGGTTGGTCTGTAAATGCATCCAGAAGGCAGCAAAACCACTTCCCTTTATTAAACTATTGCAAGGAGATACCAGATCTATGTCACATTATCACTTGAGGATGAAATCACAGAGATATAGGAGGAGAAGGGAGTGAAGAAGGGAGAAGGGAGTAAAGAAGGGAGTGAAGAAGGGAGAAGGAGGGAGAAAGTAAAGGGGAGAAGAGGAGAGGAAACAAGGAGGAAGAACAGGACAGGAAAACAATCAAGTGAGAGGTAATAAAGTGAGGATAGAGAAAGGGGGAGAGAAAGAGAGGAAACCAGGAAAGGAGAAGGAAAGAGGAAACAAGAAGAGAGGAAAGGAAGCGATAACAGTAGATGGGAGGGAGCTTTTCAGAATAAAAGCCTCAGTGAATAGGAAACAACCAACACCGCCAAAATAAGAGACCTGCGAGCTAAAGACACATTACAGTTGATCAGTTTTTTAAAGTGTGACTCCCCACACTAAACTCCACTGAATTTAAACATTTTTTGGGGAGAAAAATAAAGTTTTTCATTCAATAAAACAAACAAAAGCTCCTTCACACTCCTATTGGTTTTTACTACAGTCATTCACACTCTCCCATTCACACCTTTCTAACTCACACTACATCTCCCTCATTCACAGACAGGTAGGTGTATAGAGTCATATAGCCAAGTGTGTGTGTGTGTGTGTGTGTGTGTGTGTGTGTGTGTGTGTGTGTGTGTGTGTGTGTGTGTGTGTGCGTGTGTGTGTGTGTTAAAAGCATTACAGTCAGAGCTTATGTACTCTCACTGACTCACTCTCTATTTCTGATGTTTCCAAAGGCTCTTTGAACAGCAGATAATAGATCAGTGCTGGAGAGCTGCAGGGCGAAGAAACACACACACAGAAACACACACTCTGCGTCCACATGGCTGCAGTTATGTGTGTGTGTGTGTATGTATGTATGTATGTATGTGTGTGTGTGTGTGTGTATGTGTGTGTGTGTGTGTGTGTGTGTGTGGGTGTGTGTGTGTGTATGTGTGTGTGTGTATGTATGTTGTATGTATGTGTGTGTGTGTGTGTATGTGTGTGTGTGTGTGTGTGTGTGTGTGGTGTGTGTGTGTGTGTGTGTGTGTGTATGTGTGTGTGTGTGTGTGTGTGTGTGTGTGTGTGTGGGCGGCAGCAGGGTGAAGATACACCATCGTACTGGAGAAGCGGTTTCACACTCAAAACAGACTGTAAAACTCCTCCGTAACCAATAATAACGACCAATAATCCGTCACACACAACAAAACAGGAGAGCGGAGAGCGTGCACACACACACACACACACACACACACACACACACACACACTCATCAAGTTGCCATGGTGATAATATTAACAGCCACAGCAGTGTTTCTCACAGCAGTCGGAGAAAAAAATAATGGGTGCGTTTAGTCCGTATTTTAGCACTTCCTGTTCTCTTCACTGGATGTCAATGGTTTTATGAATGTGTTTTTGATTGTTAGCCTGAATAAAGGTCTGTGGTTAAAACCAGCTAGTGAGATGTTGTTCTACAACAGGAAATATGTTAGTAAATACTCCACTGGTTTGATTTGATCTTATTTCCACTGCAATATATTCAACAATGCAATGATATAAATACATTGGTGTTTTATTGAGGTAATCCTTGTGATGGTAATTTCCGGGTTGGCCTACAATATACGTCATCACTACAGCACTTCTGTCACGGTTTTAGTTTTGTCTGTCTAGTCATATTTTTATTTTGAAATTCTGTTCTCCCTGTCTCTTGTCTTCCTTCCTGTGTTTGCCCTCCTGTGTCTGAGTGTCTGGCTTAAGTCGAATAGTCCATAAGCTTAGGAACCTTCCTAACGGAGTGAAATGACCCGGAAGTCCCTCAGTGGCAGCCATGATAAGTGCCGTTCGAATTCTCTAGATAGGAAAGGAGGTTTCAAACTTCCTTTATAACCTCCTTTAGCTTAGGAACCACTGGACCTCCCTCACCGAAAGGAGAGGAGAAAATGCTGCCCCACAATGCCTTGCAGCCGCAGCATTTGCCGTCACTCAACAGTCGGCCATTCACTGAAACAAAAGTTACGGTGCTTATTAAGCTTTTTTAAACGTATGTGGTAAGTTTTGAACGTTTTGAACGTTCATCAGTATTATAATCAAAAAGAGAAATATGAACGTTAGTTTTACTGAAATGATCAAATAAAGTCAACATTTCACAGTCTTTACTGAGCTGTGGGGTTTGTTCAACTTTTAAAAGATGTGTGAATGGTGATATACACAGTGATAGATGTTAAGGACTAACGTTTATAATAAATACATTTGTATTGATTTTAAGATATTTTCATAGTTCATACAATCATACGTATTGGGATCATCTGTATTAATGTGGACCGGAGGGAGAGGGTGACGAGCATACGTTTCACTTTCCTTTTTTATTTCAATTCCAACTTTGGTCATGAAGAATATGTTTCTCTGTTGTTCATAAAGCATAAAGCAACAGCGTCAGAGCACGGTGCAGAGTCTCTAGATGAGTTTACAGTAGTCCCTCGTTCTTATTAAACATCCATGTTGTAGTCCGCTGTATAGAAAACTGTAGTTTCCATAGTTTCCCCACAGCAGCAGACGCACATTCATGACGTCCTCTGGCGCATCATAAACACGTCGGATAGTGAAAGTGCAGTCGGATTCTCTAAAGTACCGCGGTCTCTTCTCCTAAGTCCTTTTGAATTCTCCTATCCACTATCCCTTAACCCCGTGACGTTTCACTCAGAGGTCAAGGAATAGGAGATAGGGTTAGAACTTAGGAGCTGATTTTTAAACTATCCGACCGCAACCTCTGATTGTGTTCACCTGTTGCCCTTCCGTTTCTGCATCCCCTGCCCAGCTGTGTCTTGTCTTCCCCTGCGCTCCATGTCGGTTCGTTCTCTTTTCTCACCCTCCATGTTTGTCACGTTCCAGGTTGGTTTTTTGTCCTCATGCTATGTGTTTTGGATTATGATTTTGTTTTGTTTGCCATGTCAACAGCTTTTATTAATTAAAGCTCGCTTTTGTTTTGAAACCCGCTTCCCTTTTTAACTGCATTTGAGTCCTAATATTCACGAATCCTGACAACTTTATACACACTAGGGGCTGTAAACGGTAACACAGTACCTCTCACAATTAATCTGCAACTTTAAGGCGTTAAAGAAGATCACCCAACAACAATCACAACATCCTGCCATATCTCCAGTGTGGATGTTTACCTTGAATTACATGGCAGTTCAAAGGCAGAATAACCGACACAAGCCAATGCACCAAATGGAAAACCATCACTACCTCAGTGTAACAGCACACCTAATCCATAAGAAAATAGCAACTGCACCCTAGAACTGCACTCGTTCTTTAGGTGTGGAGAAAATGGAGGAAAGACATTACTGCCGAACCATGCACCATCTTCTTGAAGTTACATGAGGCGAGATGAAGGACAGGGTCACCGCCGTGGGAACAGATACTGCTCGATTACCATTAGAGTAAAAAGAAAAGCACAGAACGTTTTCTAAAACTTTCTGAAACCTTTAAACTCTTGCAGAGGTTTGTTGCATAGCAATACAGCAGCTCCTACTCACCACTGGGTCGTTTTCTATATTGTAAATTTCCCCTCGTTGTGACGAATAAACCTATTCTGATTCTGAAACAAAAAACAATCCCTGCTTTTTGCCTCCAGATATTGAAGTTCTCAACTCACCCGAGCGTGGTCATGGTGACGATGGTGTACCAGAAGGAGGCGGGGATGGAGGTGAAGGTGGAGCCCTTGGTGCCCTTCTCGGCGTAGAACATGACGGTGGCGAAGATGATGATGGCCATGGTGAGAGAAAACAGCAGGAAGCCTAACTCTGAGGCGCAGCTCTTCAGAGTGTAGCCCAAAATCCTCAGGCCCGCCGAGTGGCGCGAGAACTTGAAGATGCGGAAGACGCGGAAAACCCGGAGCGTGACGAAGGCGCCGCTCACGTCCTCGTTCTCCGGCATCACCAGGCCGATGTAGTACGGCATGATGGCCACCACGTCGATCACGGACATCACGGAGCGCATGAAATTGCAGCGACTGGGCGCAGCGAAAAGGCGCATCAGATACTCGAAGGTGAATATGAGCACGCAGGCCGTGTCCATGCAGAAGAAGGGGACCTTGTACTTCTCGCCGCACGGCAGATCTTTCACGCTGCCTAAGGGCGGCCGGCACGGCACCGTCTCCACCACGTTGGCGATGACCGACACGGCGATGAAGAAGCCGGTGACGTAGTAGAAGACGAGAGCCATGGTGGAGGTGTGCGGGTTCTCGAAAGCTCGCCACAGCCGCTCCCTGGAGGTGCTGTTGGGGGGCAGCGGGGCGTCAACCCCCTCGTTGGCCTCCGTGTCCTCCGCCAGGCGCTCCTGGTTCTCCTTTTTCCTGTCCCGGTATTCCTACACACAGACAGGGAGAGAGAGAGACAAGATCAGCCTCATTATTGATCATATTTAATCAAGTTAGAGATTTTGAAAACACATGGTGCCTCACAGTAAGTCAGAATACAAAATCCTAAAACAGGGTATATGCAGGAATCCTGTAGTCAAATGTAATTCCTTTTAAGACCTTTTTTAAGACCCTTTCCATACATTTTAAGACCTCATCGCCACTTGGAGTTCTAACCGGTTACCTTGGCGACACACTTTACCTCACATTGACTATATACAGTATTGATTGTCCTTCCTCTTTATCTTCCAACCATTTGGACGCAGACTTGCATTTCCCCATAACGATGTTGTTTAACAACCGACGTAAACGGACCTTCGCGCTATCAAGCAGTGAGCGTGCGATGTCCTGTTCAGATGACGTCAAACCCAACGGGATGCCATAAATAAACTACACAGAATCACACTACACACCTACGCAATGATTACATTCAGGCAGACTGTAGAATACAACCTCTTTGGACCATTTAGATACTTATTGAAAACAAGCTACAAAATGTAATACCTTGGAAAATGCCCTTTAATACTTTTTAATAGCCTTCATTTTCACTAAATTCATTTATCAACTTTTAATATTTTTTAAGACCCCGCGGACTCCCTGTAAAAATAAAGAAATGCTAAATAATTAGTTTGGCAGCTGAAAGTATGAGTAAAATTAAAAGTATCATTGGCGGTGTAGAGTCCAATTTAGTAAATCATCCTATTACAACTATTAACGGCGGGGGCAACCGGGTTTAACAGGTTAATAAGTCTTGCTTAAACAAAAAGTGATTTAATAAATGGGATATTATCTTGCTTTTCAACTTAAAGGTAGGGTAGGTAAGAATGGAGAAACCAGCTCGAGTGCGCTAGAATTTGAAAGTACACAGCCGAAAAAGATCTGCCCCTTCCTTCAGACTTCCTCACAGAGCCCCTCCTCCAACACACACGAACGCGCACATGACCAATGAGGACACGAGATAAGTTTGTGCACAGATGGAAGGCTGACAGGCAGGTAGGCCATCCAGTTACTTTAGCCGGGCCGGCTCAGATGATTGGTCGTGCTTTTTACAGCGCTACAGCTTCCACAGATGACATTTCTTTATGTATTTATTGTCAAAGAATTTAATGTATTCATTGCTATCGGGATGTTAAGAGCATTCCATGGAATATAACAAAAAGTGTTTCTGAAGTGAATTACCTACCCCACCTTTAAGTAATGAGAAAAAGGTTGAAAATGTAACAATTTCATGTTAGCCTCATGTCTACATGTCAATCTAGAATAGTTAGTCATTTTAATATATTTTATGCTTTATGATAACTCACATTTCTTCTTTTTTTTAAAGATGTATTTATTTTTTTAGAATTGGATGATGCTGTCAACCTGCTGGCAAAGAGGAAAGCTCTTATTTTGAAGGCGGCACAGCAGAAACGATCTTGTTTCCTGTCAAAACTGATAAAGCAAACCATTTTATTTTGTTTGTGCAACTGTCTATTTAAGTGTTGTACCTATAAAAGATAAACAAAGTACAACCATGTTCACAGCCCTATGGTCGCTTTGTGTCCTATCAGATATTTGTTTTCCATTAGCTCCGGGCCAATATGGTTAGCGGCTTCTCCTTTTAGCAAGATAGTGCACTAATAATGGGAATAAATGAAACGTTGTCCCACATCACATGCCACCACAGGTATTGACAAAGTAACTCCTAAAGAAATACAGAGCATTTTCTATTGAAACACCCATTTTACACAGCCTCAATTGAATGTATTTAGAACCACCAAGCACTTGTCAGCGGTTACCAAGCCAGCAAGCCAACTATAGTTAATAAATAGAAAGTGAAATACATTCATAAGACTTTAAACTCCCACAAAAGGCAGTGACCTCCAGAGTGATTAATAAACTTGTCTCAAAGGAAGTAAATCTGCTTCTGTAAATGTTTTTGCCTCAATAATTACCAGAGAAGAAAAGCAGCAGAAATTACTAGCAGTATAAAAATAAAAAGCATGTGGACTGTTTCTCATGGGAAGTTGTGTGGGAAGTGTGAGAGAACAAATCCAGAAATGAGAATCTCTCACAGTTAAACCAACATTTTTGAGTCTGCCAAATGTGAGGAAATATATTTCCAGCTCATTAGTCAGTGCACTGGTCCAATATAAAACAAAGTATATAAAGATTTAAGAGCAAGTCAAGACGAGAGTAATGTGACAAACGGGTATATGAAGAGCTCTGAAGGTGATTTGTTATTTAAGTAGGGACGTTAATAATAAAACATACAGAAAACTAAAGTAGGAAGCCAAAATCAGGAGCATTAAAAGGTGCAGGGATGAGTCCTATAACCTGGAAATTAGTATTTCAGCACTTCCTGTTCTCTCGTCTGGAGCTCAATGGTCTTTTGAATGTCTATTTGGTTGTTAGCCTGAAAAAAGGTCTGTGGTTTGCACAAGCTGAAGAGATTTTAGTTCTACAACGTTAGTAAAAACCCCACTGGTGAATTTAAAAAGAGCGGTTGCTAACAAGTGTCTAAATCAGATGACTAAACGTCATCACGCCCAACATTAGCCGCCTTTAGCTTAGCGGTGGTGACGTGAAGTCATGTGACCGTGCTGTAGTTCCTTTATAGCCCAAATTTGGCCACCTTTAGCTTAACGGTGGTGACGTGAAGTCATGTGACCGTGCTGTAGTTCCTTTATAGCCCAACATTAGCCAACTTTAGCTTAGCGATGGTGACGTGAAGTCATGTGACCGTGCTGTAGTTCCTTTATAGCCCAACATTAGCCGCCTTTAGCTTAGCGGTGGTGACGTGAAGTCATGTGACCGTGCTGTAGTTCCTTTATAGCCCAACATTAGCCACCTTTAGCTTAGCGGTGGTAACGTGAAGTCATGTGACCGTGCTGTAGTTCCTTTATAGCCCAACATTAGCCGCCTTTAGCTTAGCAGTGGTGACGTGAAGTCATGTGACCGTGCTGTAGTTCCTTTATAGCCCAACATTAGCCGCCTTTAGCTTAGCGGTGGTGACGTGAAGTCATGTGACCGTGCTGTAGTTCCTTTATAGCCTAACATTAGCCTCCTTTAGCTTAGCGGTGGTGACGTGAAGTCATGTGACCGTGTTGTAGTTCCTTTATAGCCCAACATTAGCCGCCTTTAGCTTAGCGGTGGTGACGTGAAGTCATGTGACCGTGCTGTAGTTCCTTTATAGCCCAACATTAGCCACCTTTAGCTTAGCGGTGGTGACGTGAAGTCATGTGACCGTGCTGTAGTTCCTTTATAGCCCAACATTAGCCACCTTCAGCTTAGCGGTGGTGACGTGAAGTCATGTGACCGTGCTGTAGTTCCTTTATAGCCCAACATTAGCCACCTTTAGCTTAGCGGTGGTGACGTGAAGTCATGTGACCGTGCTGTAGTTCCTTTATAGCCCAACATTAGCCACCTTTAGCTTAGCGGTGGTGACGTGAAGTCATGTGACCGTGCTGTAGTTCCTTTATAGCCCAACATTAGCCAACTTTAGCTTAGCGGTGGTGACGTGAAGTCATGTGACCATGCTGTAGTTCCTTTATAGCCCAACATTAGCCACCTTTAGCTTAGCGGTGGTGACTTGAAGTCATGTGACCGTGCTGTAGTTCCTTTATAGCCCAACATTAGCCACCTTTAGCTTAGCGGTGGTGACGTGAAGTCATGTGACCGTGCTGTAGTTCCTTTATAGCCCAACATTAGCCGCCTTTAGCTTAGCGGTGGTGACGTGAAGTCATGTGACCGTGCTGTAGTTTCCTTTATAGCCCAACATTAGCCGCCTTTAGCTTAGCGGTGGTGACGTGAAGTCATGTGACCTTGCTGTAGTTCCTTTATAGCCCAACATTAGCTTTTTACTTCTCAAATCATAAAGTGGTGTTCATAAGTGGAGATTATCCTGCTGAACAAAACGTGTAAGTATGATAAACGTTTGTTTGACACACAGAATATTTTCGAATGGAAAAATCCCACTGGCTTTTGGCCATGGGAGCCATTACAATACTAACTTCAGGGTTGGCTCTACATCCCTGCTCTCACCACTCTCTTGCATGTGTGCTTCCGGTGTTTCAGCTCATTACTGCCGTGTTAATGAGTTTTATAATGAAGTCTGACAGCAGCGCTTGTTAGAAACCCCCCTCCTCAGATCACTCCATGTTTTTACACTTTACTCATTTAGCTGATGATCTCCGCTCCAAAGAGACTTAATGAGTGCAGCAGCAGAATCACCAACATTACAGTGAAGCTTCAGGAATAAATCCAAAGGTCACTGCATCAACCGAAGTACACGAGTCATGACGCAAGTGATGTAAAAAATGTGGAAGTAAGAGCAGTATGTCCTCCTTTATAGGACTGTCACTGCATAGAAAGGTGGGATCTTCATCAGTAGCAGCACTGTGAATTGTTGTGGAAGATGATCTGCAAATAAAATCTAGAAATAAAAAGTATTTTTCTGAGCAGCAAACTTAACATTAAGTCCATAACATGAGGCTCATGTTCATTTTGGAAATAAAAAATGATAACAAAAACAGCTTATTATTTGTTATTGTTAACCGTTTCCTTGATTAAAGCTATACTATACTTCTTAATAATTTGAATTGTTGTCTTCATTATAGTGAAAACCTATATAATACCAGATTGTGTACAAGTTTTAAAAAGGTTTCTGGTTTAAAGCTTTCAATATTTGACTTTTAATTAATATATACATTTAAAAATGTCATCATGTTTGAATCAGTATTGAATTCGAATACCAAACTCTAGTATTTATATTTATATATATATGTTGTTGACCTCTTCAGTAAGTGGAGAGTATGTTCTCAATGCAAATCAAGTTATAAATAGTTTTTTTTAAAATTGGATATTTATGTAGAAATAGATAAACAAAATGAACAAGAGTCACTGAGAGAGTTACTTTTACACTTGAGTAAAATATACCTAAGCAGTCATTGATATATAATGGTTAAATATAAGTAAAATATATAAAATGATATCTAATATGTATAATTATATATATAAATAATAACCATGATGCAAAATGTCGATACCATGCTTTTCCATATTTCCATCACAATCTCCTTTGTATGGATTTTGAAAACACCATTATTATTATTATTATTATTATCAACATTTTATAATATCATATCATTATGTTCTGAACAGGAAGTGGAGCATTACCTCCATGCAGCAGTACAATATACCCAAACAGTCATTAATAGATAAGATTAGAGAAACTTGATTCCTTATTGGGAAATGGTTAAATATATACATACAATTATATCTAATATGTACAATTGTCTATATAATTAATAACCGTGATGCAAAATGTCGATAACAACTTTAAATCTGTTGCTTTTCCATATTTCCACAACAATCTCCTTTATGGGATTTTTGAAAAAACAACATTATTTCCTCTGCTCTGAACACTAAGTGGAGTTACCTCCATGCAGCAGTCAAATATACCCAAATATTAATAGATGGCTTAGACTAGAGATACTTTAAGAAAAGAAAAATATATATATGTTAATAATTTGGTTTTTGGGAGAAGGGGTGGGATTAAATAAGTGTAATCTTCTTCCCACCGCTTTTCGGATGTGTAATTAAGTAGATCAATTGTTTATATATAATTTATTCGTCAGTAATATTTTTGTTTATCAATTTGACACTGCTTAAGTTTGTATAGTATAATAATTCTCAATAAATCAAATCAAGTCAATACTGTATTCAGAGGCGTGTGGCGTAGTGGGGTAGTGCGTTGGTGTTCGGATCAGGGTAGCACAGGTTCAAACCCCACTGCATGTCGTTGTGTCCATGAGACACTTCACCCCAAATTGCTTCTGTGGGGATTGTCCACAGTATTGAGTATGTTTGGATAAAAGTGTCTAACAAGTAACATGTAATATTCCTAATTGGGAAATGGTTAAATATAAGTAAAATATATACAATTATATGTATAATTAATAGACATGATGCAAAATGTTCATAACAACTTCAAATCTGTTTCCATATTTCCATCACAATCTCCTTTTGCAGGGAATTTGAAAACAACAACAATCTGGGACATTTCAATGGATATTTCCAATATGGAAAAGATGACAGCATTTGTCATAAATTGGAAGAATGTACTACAAACTGTGAGAAGTGGACTCACGATGTAAAGCCCTAAAGGCCTGATTTAGTTTCCACAGATCCATAACTCTGCTGTAAAGACACGTCTACTGCCTAATTGTTCACTGTTGTTTTCTTTATGTTTTCTCATCTGTGTTTTTTGTGTCATGATGTATCATTGCTGAAAAGAACTATGAACAGATGTATGTCTTTCATGTCGAGATGCAACAATGTTTGACACTAAATGCCAAAAAAAAGTCAATTACAAAAACAAAAAATACAACAACATTTTTGTCTCTGTGCCTAACAGGAAGTGCAGTTACCTCCATGCAGCAGTCCCCGATGATCTCGGGCACGATGCCGTAGAAGGCCAGCTCCTCGTCGAAGGCCTGGATGCACTCGTTCCTCGGGTAGTGCAGCTTCCCTGTGCGGTAAAAGTTCAGAATGTGCCGGAACATTTCGGGGTCTCGGTCGAAGAAGAATTCCTGAGTGTCCTCGTTGTAGAAAAACTCTTTTTCTGAAGAGCCCAGCAGCGTCTCCGGGTAACGGTCCAGAGTGTTCTTCCATGTCTGCAGAGAGACCACATGATTTTTTTATAGGACAATCTGTAGCTTTACTATTTCAACTTAAGTGTGTTTTTCTTATGATTATATGATGCAAAAAGAGGGATACATATTCTTATGTTGAAGGTGCCACAGGAAAAAAAAAAAATATATAATAAAACTTATAAAAGATTATTATTTTTCTCATACTGCCTGTGCTGCAGCACCTCTTTTCACCCTCTGTCTGAAACCAGAGCCCAGTCTGCTCTGATTGGTTATCTGGCCGGCTCTGTTGTGATTGGTCAACCGCTTAGAGATGTCCCGCCCCTTAACCACGCACAATGTGTTGGAGCGCTAGCCAATAGAAGTGTTTTTACTTTAAAAAAATACATTGTAGTGGCCGTCAGCACAACAAAAATAGTGTTTAAACAGAGAAACAATGTTTTGTAAAAGCATAAGACCAAATATAATAACTTCTCCTCAGTTGAACCACTTTTAAACAAATCATACAGGCTAATTGGATTAAAAACAGACGAAAACAAAACACTCAATTTAAGCTGAGATGCAGAGAAAGATGGGAGCATTGAACTGTCTCTAATTGTCGGTAACAGTGAAGTAGGCCGTGTTTTATGCTTAGATTATATTATTAGGCATACTGTATGTTTGTCTTTCTATATATACCACCAGAACCTTTAAAAAATGAGGACAAAGTCTGACAGGAACTTTCTCCTTGTTCTGCCGCCGCAGCAGAAAGCACTTTTTTCTGTTTGATTCCTAAACGCCATCCAAATCCATTTTTGCTGTGGAGCCATCCTGTTATTTGTTCAGCCCAAATGCACATTGATTAGACGTACAGTTTTTATTTACAACCTCCAGGAGCAGAGCGGCACATTAAGAGCAACATGAATCTCTGAAAGCAGATCTGGTAGTAAAACTGCTTTTAATTCCCCTCATAGAAGTAATGTGATCATATTTTACATACTTGGACAGCTAGTGACTTTCTAATAGCTTCTAACTATTTCTGCTTCATCAAAAAAAGGCAAATATTTAAGCGTGCGTCTGTAACGACTTTAGAGTCAACTACAAGTCCCAGAGAGCTTAGCTGTGAGAAACAACCAATCAGAGCTTCAGATTCTCATACTAGGCCTCCAACAGAGCTGAAATTAGATGAATGTTAACAATCAATCCAAACCTATCCACTTTTGGAAATATCTTAGCAACGAAGCGCTCTGAATGCGGCACAAAATAACTCTTGAACCAAGGCTCTGGCTGGAAAACAGCAAAGACTTGTGGGTAATGTAGTTTTAAAACCTAAGCTAATCAATACCTGCATAGAACATGTCCTAAATCTGCATGAGAACTTCCTGCACATACAAGAAAGTCAGGATTTCTACAGGAAATCAGGTGCCAAGGTTTATTGTCAACGCAGGGAGTTGTGTGTCCTTTTGTAGAGAGGAAAATTGTAGAGGTGGAAGTCAATGGTGCGATTGTGTGGCTTTTTGTGTCAAACTGCCATTTTCTTTCCATCTGGTAAGTACGTTTTAAGTACGTGTTTAATGTCGCTATGTTCCTGAAGTAAACACAGCAGTCCAATGGAGGTGTTTCAGCCAGTGTGGCAGAGACACTCCCTCTGGAGGACACACAGGGATTTTAGCCTTTGCAGACCATTTACATGCACTAAAACCTATATGACGCACTACAGGAAAGGGAACACCCCAAAAAGCATAATTGGGCACCTTTAACATGTTTAATATTTAATAATAATCATCAAAGAATGATTTCCATTTCCTTTTTTGATTGCAGTAAAAATGTGTCGCAGTTATAACTAGAATCACATTTTTAAAACAGTTTAACTGCTGGAGTTTTTACCTTTTTAAGAACTTTTTTTTCCATATTCATGCACTTAGTAGCAGCAGCAGATATGGACATCACTCTTTTATGACACTACTCATTTATAAAAGGTGAAATCTTGTTATTGATGAAACTGATCTATTTGTCACCAGGCTCCCCACGATCCGATACTATCACGATACTTAAGCCACGATACGATAGTACTGCGATGCTACGATATGCTAAGTATTGCGATACGATATATTGCGATATTGCAAATCACATGAGTCATATCCGTCTTCCCTTCCTGGTTAAAAAATGTATTTGCAATATGAATAGTTTATGTAAATAACCCAATTTGTGTTCTTTGAAGCTGAAAAGGAGATGGCATTGTTTTTGTTACTTTCATTGCAACATGTCTTAACGTAACTTCCTGTTTCATATAGACGAGCTTTTAGTTTGAATGGACTTTTTTTTGCGCTATTAGCAGGAAGTTCCCGAAGCAAAAACTTGACGGAGAAAAATAACAGAGATAAAGTAACTATTTGAAGTTCACTTGTTTAACGGTATTCTAAAGTAATGCTCATATGGATTCAGCTTAAATGAATTTGTTGTTTTGTGTCTTTGTGTAGCTCTTACGTTGGTTTTTGGAGTTTTCAATAAATTAGAAATCATCAGTCAAGCGTACGACCGTCTATCGGAGGGATATGCTACAGTTTATATAATCAAATATCGATACTTGGCGTCCGTGTATCGACACGATATCGCCACGCAAAGTATCGCGATACTATGCTGTATCGATTATTTCCCCCACCCCTAATGACAGTCCTCACCTGGAACCGGACCCCGCTCACGTTGACGTACAGGATCTCATCTGATTTGGACGAGTTGTCGATGGGAGGTTTGGGCATCGTCTTCTTGGCGAGCGGGAGCCATCCCACCGCCGCCGCCCGAGCGAACGGCAGCCACGTCGCCACGCCGGCCGCCATCTTGCATCAGCACGCTCCACCTGGAGAGAGTCGACTGCTGTGTTGAAGTGGAGCTAATGAACCTGAGGGAAGGTAGCTAACGCCTCACTTCTTTGGGTGGCGAGATAGGAGGTGGGCGGACATGTTGAAGGGGGAGGAAGGGGGGAGGAGGGAGGCGTCAGTTAGGTGTCAAGCCATGAAAAATATGGCATTAAATAGGGAGAAAGACGATGCATCTGAGAGTGGTCCGTGTTTTATTCTGACGAGTTTCCGACTTCCTCCAGGTGTGCAGAGCCTTCCTGGAAAAGTCCTCTTGGCCTGCAAGACGCTCCTCAGGGTAAACAGGCACTTCAATAAAACCCTCAGGAATCAGATGGAAATATATTTCCTTTTTTGGATACTTTTGCAAAACTTTCCGCCTGCAAAGCGAACGTCCTGTCCTCCTAAATAACAAAATGTTCCACTTCACAACACAGACTCTCCTGGTAGGAAAACATAATTTCTTGAACTCTCAGCAGTCCTAGCCGAGCAGATCATGTGTGGAATAATAACAATCTGATATTGCCGTCACAGGTTTATTGCTGCTGGGACTTAAGACAAAAAGGTACCAAAAAATATATATAAATCCAGGAAGGAAAGCGTTAAAACCTTTGTGTCTGCTTCCTCTCTCTCCTCTGAAGACGGATTTGTTGCAGCACCGCAGCCTTTCAAATTCTTATTAAATTGTGATGATGGTTCCTGAAGTTGCAAGATAGACAGAATGGCCGCCCTGCCTCTAAGTGGAGATTATGGATGTCTTCTTCCTCTCTTTCTCTTTCTGCTGATTTTTTTTTCTTACCCCCTCTCTAATTTGCCTTTATCTGCTCCTGCGTTTTGCTGCTCCTCTCGGTCGGAGGGACATTAGTGGCAGAGGAGGTGGAGTGTTTGGGAGTGAGGAGGCGTCAGGAGGTGCTTTACTCCATGTCCATGTAAGGCCGTCCTGTCAGGAGACACACACACAGAAAAGAGACAGAGAGTGAGAGACAAACCAGGAGAGGAGAGGAGGAATACATCTGTCAGAGGAGAAGGAGGATTAGTACTTAAGAGGAAAGGAGGAGAGAAGAAGTGTGGGAGGATACATTTGAGGAAGGGAAAAGGGAAGAACAAGGTGAACATGTGGGGGGAAAGCAGGAGAAAGAGGTAAGGGGGGAGGAGGGAAAGAAGGAGAAATGGAGTTGGCAAAAGAAAATAGGAGAGGAGGAAGGAGAGGAGGTGTGATAGAAGAAGGGAACAAGGAAGCAAAGGAGAGAGATGAAGAGAAAGAAGGAAACTAAAAAGTAAAGTGGAGCAATGGTAACAGGAAAAGCAGAAAGGAGGAGATGGAAAGTAAAATGTTGATAACGTTAGGGGAACGGGGAATGAGAAAGACATCGAAAACAAAAGGAGGAGAGAGGAGGTGTAGGAGTTTAAATAAATGGTCATTTGGAAAGAATGCAAAAAAAGGAGCAAAGTGAAAAGGGGGAGGAAGAGTCGTTAAACAGAAGGAAAGTGGGAGGAGGAGATCAAGGTAACTGTCAAAAGAAAGAAGAAGGAGATGAGATGTTAAGAAGAAGAAGGGAAGAGGGAAGTAGAGAAGAAAGGTGAAGAGAAAGATATTTAAAAAGATATAAATGGGGAAAATAGGAGGTAAAAGGGAACAAGGAAAGGAGGGAAGGTGAGGAGAAATGAGGCAAACATAAAATAAAAGGAAAGCAATGAGGAAAGAGTTGATGAAGGAAAGAAGTGAGGAAAGGAGGGAAGGGATATGGGAGAACACGAGAAATGCTAAGAATAGTGATTAAAGAGGGGAGAAATGAGAGAGAGAGAGAGAGAGAGAGAGAGAGAGAGAGAGAGAGAGAGAGAGAGAGAGAGAGAGAGAGAGAGAGAGAGAGAGAGAGAGAGAGAGAGAGAGAGAGAGATGGAGGAGGAGGCTTGGTAGAGAAAATAGTAGGGGAGGGATGAAGAAGGGACAATAATATTGGAAAGGAGGAGCATTTAGAGAAGATCCACGGGAGAAAGAAGTCCCGGTAAGATGATTTTTACAAACATGAACCAATGTGATAGAATTTTTTTTTTTTAAAGTAGCATTCAGGGTGAAGTAGTTCCTCATTCTCTGAGTCTGACTTAATTCAAAATGGAAACTGGATTTGTGGAATACTCTCCCAGAGCAAACAAAATATATCTTCTCATCCCATGTACAGTTTGGGCGTGGTTTGAACATGTGGGAAATGTGCAAATTGGAGGGAACGCCCATCAACAAGAGATCACAATGACCTTATGTCCCATGTATAACACAGAGCATGTGCTAAATAAGTCACAGTTAAAAATCCAAACTATGATGAGAGGAAGCAGAGCTATATTTATGATGTGTTTATGATTTATTTAAAAACAAATGCTGGTTTTAATGATGCAGAATCATCACCTGACAACATGCATCAACAGCACAGTAGCAGGAGTAAATACATTAACATTCACGTAATGAAAAGAAAAATGAAATTAATAAATAACTGCAGGTCGGTCATTTCCTCTAAGGATGTTTCTTGTTTGTCTGTCGGCACGATAAATTATTTGCTAATGATATCATTATATAGTTTTCCACGGATTTTTATGAAACGTGGTTTAGCATACGCCAAGGAAGAACCCATCACACTTTGGAGCTGATCCCAAATTACGGGGCGGAAAATTATGATTTATTACCATTTTTGGATAGAACTTGTGTGCTGCTTTCATTAAAGGTCACCTATCATGCTATCTCTAGGCAATAGCATAGGTCTCAGATATATACAAATATATACAAAACATGTCTATGAAGTGTTTTGCTCAAACAGACCACCCATTCTAGCCATGCCTCATTTCCCTCTATTTCACTTCCTGTTTCTAAAGTGCTGATTTTGTGTAAAAATGGATAATAAAAAAAAGTGGGGGCATGCGGGACCCGGCAGCTACTGTCTAAACTAAATGCTGCCGTGATGAAACGCCATATCATGGATTATCATGGATTATCTCTGAAACAGTCTGGAGCTCAAAGGCTTTCTCTCTTGCCGGTTATACCACAAGGTGAGTTCCTTTTTACTTCCTGCTTCTTCACACACATGCTCTCCAGTACAGGTTAGCTCTGAGTGTTAGCGATGCTAATGTAAACACCGACCATATTACGTCCAAAACAGTCGGGCATTGTTTTTGATAGCAACGTTTCTGATTGGGCCGTGGGTCCACATTTCAGATATTACGTCATATCGGACGCAAATCTGGATCAGCTCCGTTGTTCCCCGTTTTTAGAGATTTGGGTACGGAGGAAAAGAGAGAGGGTTTTATTTTCTGACGCTGCGTGAGTTCCCCGACACACCGGGAACACATGTTGATGTATAAAAGACATCAACAAGTGCATTTTGCATTATAGGTCCCCTTTAAGTATATTTGATCTTACCTATTTATTTAAGTTCAGAAAAATCGGGGAAAAAACAAGTTAACTATATATATATTTTTTATTTAGCCTTTATTTATACAGGTGTAGATCTCATTGACAAATATATGGCTATATTTAGTATTTATTAACGTACAAATGCTGTTTTTAATGATGCAGAATCACCTGACACCATGCGTGAATATCACAGAAGCAGAATGACAGTATGTTGATTAAAATTCACATCATAATAAACGTTAGAAAAGCCTAAAATAAAATCCAAAGTGCGATCACATCTGTTTCTTTATCGATCTTTTGCTCTACGTCTCAAACTCCCCCTGACAGTTACTCATGTATTTAGGGCTGAAGATATAACGCTGCAGGTTATTAAAGATGTGTTTTATGATGAACCTCGCCCTCTTTATTCCTCCCTCTGCGTCCTGCATTCAATAATCCCTCCTCAATAAGGTTTCCTGTGGAGCTGCTGCCGCTCCTCAGACCAAAAGTTATTGTCGCCGGTTTATTGCTTAAAGTCCACAGTGGGAGTAATAACGATTCTCCTTCCTCGGGTTTGGTTTGAATCACAGCGAATCTGGGATATTAACCTCTTCATCGCTAAAGGACCATCAGTAGATCCTTCTTTAAAACCAAGCAGCACTTAGAGAGAGCTTTGCGCCTTCATTACGAAATGTCTATCTATATATATATCAATTCTAAATGCATGCATATAATAGACTTGTTTATGTATGAATAGTTAAATGTAACTTGTGAATTTCTATGTTTTTTAGTCATTTTTCTGGAACTGCACACTGGAAGGACTTTTATCTTCAAAATTGTCGGACTGCCATTAATCCAAATATATTCAAACACTAAGGATCATCTTTTTAAAACAACCTAACACTACAATGATTGAATGAACATCTACACTATTCGAAAAAACGTCCGATTTTCTTGTAAGGCGTTTAAACTTGTAAATAATAATAAACGTCAATTTGGCAACGCCCCCAGCCACTGGGATCCGCTGGGTTTTCGGTTGGAATCCGCTGGGTGGAGTCCTATCTGGAGTGCTACATCTGTATGTTAAGCATGTATTATACAAAATCCACATTTATGGACATAGATACAGTATGAAGTTCACCCTCATGTCAGACCTTTCAAAATAAAGTTTTGGTAAAAATGTCAATATAAAAACACACACACACAAGCACATATGCGCACACACACAAGCACATATGCGCACACACAAGAGCACATATGCACACACACACAAGCACACGCACACACAAGAGCACATATGCACACGCGCACACACACACTCACACACACACTCACATCCACACACACACACTAAACTTCTTGCACCTGCCCTGCCCTTCCTCAGAAAAAGTGTGTGTGAGTGTGTGTGTGTGTGTGTGTGTGTGTGTGTGTGTGTGTGTGTGTGTGTGTGTGTGTGTGTGTGTAGATGAATTATGAATGCATCTTCAGCCTGACTGGTTTCTCTGTGTTCAGCTGCACGACCTCAGTTACCACAAAGCACACCAAAACACACACATACATGTCAAAACACACACACACACACACACACACACACACACAGCCTCCATGTGGCACTGCAGTGTTTCCATCACTCCATCAACAGGAAAGCTTTTAGGGTAACGCCCACTGGGAAATCACACACACACACTCTAGTTTAGGATCAGTGACTGGTATAATAGTTTTATAATGGTGGAATAACGCATGCAATGTTCTGTAGGCAGAGTGGGAGAAAATAACAATACTCATGCCTGGGTTGCACAAAGTGACACGTTGAAATGTGATGGAGTACTTCTGTTGCCATTGGCTCGTCGTTGGCAGAATTTTACTATCATTTACGTATTTATTTAGTTGTCACCATGAATGATGTTACCTTCTACAACACACATTTTAAGTTGTGTATTCTGAAGATTAAACAAGTAGGTGCACATCAGCTGTAAGTTATTGTAATACAACAAACCTCTAGTATGAATAAGCAGATTTAAAGTGGACAAGTAGCCTCCACAAATGGCTAATTGCTAGCTTGTCAGAGAAGTCATTGGGAGGTGTGGTCAAGAACCAGCTTCAGTATCTTTCTCAGATGATTACCCAAACATTAAAACAGCAAGGTAGAGACAGGCAGAGATGGCAAAAGTACACACATCCTTTACTCAAGTAGAAGTACAGATACTCGTGTTTTAAAATACTCTTCTAAAAGTAGAAGTACTGACTAAACTTCTTTACTCAAGTAAAAGTAAAGAGACTTTGAAATGTACTTCAGTAAAAAGTACCCATAACTAGCAGCTGTTTTAAAGAGTACCTGACCTCCCTTTATATCAATAGAACAATAATGTCATTGTTAGCTAATGAATGTTTCCATGCTGAACAACGGCAACATGACAACGTTTCCATTGGTCCCTCTTCTTTAGAGAAGACCAGGAAATGATGGATACACGGATCGTGTTCAAATCAATAGGCACGCAATGACTCTAAAGAATAATGATCATGCATCAAACACACATTCAGACTAAAGGAACCAGCTGTTT